GGAATTCCCCTTAATCCCTTCCTCGGTCCGTGGGGAAGTAGCCCCTTTGCATGGGGGGGATGTTCATCACATCCACAGCCCTGGGACCTCCCACATCATCCCAGCAGTCTCCTCTTTGTCATTTGGGTTGGGTTTTACACCTCTAGGCCCTGATCCTGCCAACATTCCTGTGCTGGATGGTCCATGCAAGCACTCCTTGATGAGGAGGGTTCCTCCCATCACGATGGAATTAAAACATTCCATCCGCTTTTCGATTTGAGGAACGTGGATTTTACCCCTCCCATCCACCAAATAGGAAAACTGAGCTCTTTTTTTTTCCCTTTGGGTTCTCCCTTTTCCCTTTAGCCACGTGCTCAGGGACTGGATACAACACAGGTTTGATTGGTAGGATTGCAGCTGCATTCCCTAGAGCTCGATTCAAATTTACTTCTGCATCAATGGGGAGAGAAAGTTAATGCTTATTTACCAATATTTAGTTTTTAAGGGGAGAGGAAGTGAGGGGTAAGGGAATTTTTTATCAGTTTGGGCTCTGTTTAGTGTTAGTTTTTTGGGGATCAAAGAGATTGGGGAAGAAAATTCAGAAGATCTAAAATATTTTGAGCAGAGATAGAAAAATGTTTTGAGCAGTTGTTAAAAATAATAACAATCATCTGATATTTCTTCTTTCAATGGTTTTGTTCTGAAAAGTGCTTTCATTTTCTTTTCCTACGAAATGGAAAGATCAAACCCTGAAATCACGTATTTTATCTCCTCTAGCCCGAGCTGCCTATTTCATTCACCCTTTTTCTCCAGCTTCAATTTTTTTCTGGTAATGGTTTTAGTTTCAAAACCACCCAAAACAAATCACATGGTCAGTCGGACCCCAGATTTCAAGGTCACTGGTTCCCATGACCAGATTTCATCAGCTTCTCACTAGCTTGAAAAAGCTGATGCAGAGACATTTCACATCTCCAGAAATGATTTACATTAAACAACATTTTCTGATTCAATAAACACAGATTTCTGAGAACACTTGTGACCTTAATTAGCTTTAAAAAAAAAAAAAGAAAGAATCTGAGAATCCACAGTTTAGGTTCAGTCTGGTGGAGATATTTCACTTTTAGCTTGACCTTTGTGTTACTTAAGTGGTTTGACTTCATGCCATTGGTTTCTGCAGAGGAATATCTGGGTCAGAATCAACCCCTGAATACTTATTATATTTGATGCTGTTCCAGAAACATTATCAGCACTGAGAAGGGGGGGGGAAAGGGGGCAAAATTTCCACTGGGGAAGATGTGGGGATTAATATCCCTGCATCACTTTAAAACAAGTAATGCCAGATATATTATTTTATGCCATATAAATTTTGCTGAAAGTGCTAAAAGCCAGTGTGTGTAACAGGGCTGAACTGGACTAAAATAAAACTATTCTAACTGAACTAAAATAACTATTTCTGTGCCACGGACAACGACTTGAGAGAGTCACACCTGCACTGAAGCTGCAGCAGGAACAAATACGCTTGTGAAGTTCATTGTTAGTGTACAGAGGGCACAAATAACGTGCTTTGTGCTAAAAAAGGCTGATTGTTGCGATGGGCTTGTAGAATGTCTATGGAATATACACAAATATACATGTCTGTGTGTATATACCACAGAATTCCCAGCGCTGCATCCACCACTCCTCTCCCCCAGACCTCACATTCTCCATCACTCAGCGCACCAGGATCAGCTGATGGTGACTGGATACAGTTTTTTATGGAAATCTGCTGTCCAAGCCTACCAGGACTGGGTTGTGCCCTCAGAAAAATGCTACATCATCTCATCTGTAGGAAAAAAAAAAGAACTTCCCGAGTTACTGGAACTGTCTTGGAATAAATAGAATTTCCACTCCAATTTTCTCCAAGGATAAACCAGAATTCATCCAATATAGCACTTCACAGAAGTTTTCCTACCTACTTCCTGAGAATCACCTGTCCTGGACAGGCCACTTTTAAATCTTCCCTTTATGAGATTGACCACATTGTTTTGTGTGCTCTGCAAGAGCTGCACATTTTGTGTTTTCATGAGTTCAGATCGCATTTTGGGCACACAGCCGAGGGGTGAGAAGCTCAGAAGGGTCCAGTGTGGGGTGTTGAGGGAACGCTGCAGGAAATCTGAGACATGGAAAGTCTTAGGGTTTCCCAGAGAATAATTTTGTTGAGGTTTCACCAGGTTTTACCAGGGGGTGGGAGATCTCTGGGCAGTGAGAACAGCACTGCCTTTAGGCTGAAGGGATACACAGGGAATAACTACTCCTCTTTCAGCCTAAAAACGAGGGCTGAACAGCAGGAGGAAACATGGGAAAAAGGACTCAGAGACGGAAGAGAATCTGCCTAATAAAGACTTTAAGGGGATCCTCTGGCCAGGAGTGTTTGTAGCATCACTGCCTTTACTTTCTGCCACCTGAACCTGTGCTGAGATGTCACTTTGAGCGCTGGGGTTGACTCTAAGAGAGAAGTTCCCTGTAGGGAATGGCATTTGGATAAGGAGGTGCCCTTACAGGACAGGGCCAAGCAGGCAAGGGGGTGCCTGTGGGAGAAAGGAAATGAAGGACAAGTCAAAGAAAGGATGGGAAACCAAACTGTGATGAGGTTTGGATGAGGGACACTGTGAAGGGCAGTACTGTGAACTGGGCCCACAACGGCTCAAGGAGAATCTGGAAGCAAGAGAGGAGGAAAGGAGGCCGGTCAGGATGTTCTCCTGGGTGCTGTGATGTGTTTAGTTCTGACTCAGGGTGGATAGAAGAGTGAAGGACTGCGAATCTGGGATCCACAGTAGGGAAGGATGGCCAAAAAGCTTTTTTTTTTTTTTTTTTAGATTATTTACTACATAAAAGACCTGCTAGTTTTCACATCAGAATGAAAGTGCTTACACTAAGCCATGAAGAGGCAGAAATCTGGTGTTGGCTGGACCTTCCCACCTCCTGCTTTGTTCCTCTCCTCCCTCCACCCCCAGTCTTGGCCATTCTCTCTGCTCTGTGTTTCAGCTGCACTGCTGACTTCTCCTTGTCAGCTCAAACAGACCTTTATATGGGAATAAATTGTCTCCTGATGGGCAGAGACTTGCAAAGCAGCCTGGTGGCACTGCTGCCTGCAGGATCACACATGGTTTTTACAGCTGGGCTGTCTCCACCTAAAAACTTCTCTGCCCAGTTCAGCTCCTCAGTTACAACCCCCATCCCCAGTGCTACACTAAGGGTGTGAATTTGGACTCCACCATCACTTTGAGAGGGAATATCAGTTTAGGAAATCAAGCCTTGCTGTCATTTCGGGCCAAGAGGTGGAAAAAATGGAGGAAATCCCATGAGGTGAGGCAGGAAAGAGAAAGAGCTGCAGGGGGTGAAGCCTGGTGATCTCAGAGCTGCTGGATGTGAGACCTCCTGGAAGTTGTGCTGAGCTCATACAATCATCTAAACATTACAATCAAATGTGTTTGGGACATGCCCTGAAATCAGTAGGATTCCTTTGGTTGACTCCAGTGGAAGCTGGACCATCACAGCCTGGGTAAACAGAGACACCTGCTTCAGAAGATGATGTTAATTTGAAGTTCCCTGTTTTCAGCTGTTCTGTTTTAGGGAAGGTAGCCACTGCAAGAACAGCCACTGAAAAGTCCAGATCTCTGAGCACATGAGTCATTGCCAGGGATGGGGTTGCTGCAGGAGCAGAGGGAAAGCTGGGGAGTTTCCCTGAGGGACAGTAAGGACTGTGCAAATAAACAAGTGCAGGGTGGGAAGTGAGACACTCCTGAGCTCCTCACCCGCCCCTGGCACACCAGGAGCGTGTCTTTGCATCCTTTGACCTTGTGGAGGGACAGCTGGTGGTCAACCTTCACCCCTTGAGCTCAGGGGACCACCACTGGCAATAGTTGAAAGGGGAAGCACCAAGATTTCTTTAGCTGCTTCACTTGTTTTTCATTAAACAAAATGGAAAGCAGATCATTGCAGAGGTTCTTCCCTCAAAATCTCAGGGGCTGGTTTAAAGGTGTGCAACATTTTGCTGTGTGTCTCTCTCTGCCTTGATTTTTTCTTAGGACCTGGAGGGGGAGATTCCACTTTCACTCTGTTGGTGTGTGTTCCCTACATCTTTCACAGAACATTTTGGAGGCCGAGTGTTGACTTAGAAAACTGTAAACAAATTTTTTTTTCTGTTTTTCTTTCTTCTTTTTTTTTTTTTTGAAAAAACAAAAATTTCAAATAGCTGCTGCAAAGCACAAGATATAATTTTAATCTGCTTTACAGGGAAGTTGGAAGGGATTAATTAAGCAGTTAATAATTCACCTGAGCTTTATGTTAGTGCAAAGTACTGAGCGAATCTATTCATAAGGAAATTATGAAAAGTCATTACCTTTTAGAACCGAGTAGCTGAAGAAGGGTCATGCAAAACTATACTGGAAGTGCTGGAGAAAGTTCAAACCACTTTTTGTTTCGGGGCTGAGGAAACTGTACATTGGAGGTGGAAATAGTGATGGAGCTTAGCTGCAATATTCCAGATCAACATTCCTACCCACAGGCATCAACTGTTCCTCCTTAGCTTACAAAGTTTTGAAGAACTTTCAGCCCTTACTTTCAAAAGTGCATTTTTTTCCCTCCAATCAGACTTTCATTTTTGTTCTGTTTTTGTTTTTTGTTTGGATGGTTGGTTTTTTTTTTTTTTTTTTTTTTTTTTTTTTTTTTTTTTTTTTTTTTTTTTTTTTTTTTTTTTTTTTTTTTTTTTTTTTTTTTTTTTTTTTTTTTTTTTTTTTTTTTTTTTTTTTTTTTTTTTTTTTTTTTTTTTTTTTTTTTTTTTTTTTTTTTATTTGGTTTTGGTGGTTTTTTTTTCTTTTGTTTTGTTTGTTTTAGGGATTTTGCCTTTGGTTGTTTTTTCTTTTGTTGTTGTTGTTGTTCTCTTTTTGTTGTTTTGGTTTGGTTTGGGGGTTTTTTAGTTGGGTGGGTGTTGTTTTTTTTTTTTCCTTCTTTTTTTAGTGAGGTTTTTTTATGGCTTGTTTCAGTTCAAGCTGCAGCTTCAGCTTTCCCTACCCATTAAAAGAAGCCTCCCTTGAGCTGCAGGGGGGTGATGGTACAGAGGAGGGACAGCAGCAGGAATCGCACCCCAGTGCACACCCAACAAAGCCAAAGTCCAACGAGGTCCCCCCAGGGCCCTGAAGGGAAACCCATCCCCCAGCTGCTGCCAGAAACCTACAGCAAAAAGGCCCCAAAGAAGGTTTTGTGCTCTTTGGTGTAATCCACCAGCTTGATGTCGCTGACGTTGACCATCAGCTTGTCCCCCACCTCCAAGGAGACCACAGCTCCCAGATAAATGGGCTGGAACCAGCCATTCCAGTTCTCACTGAGGGTCTTGGTGCCTGTCAGCAGCTGAGTGGGCTCGGGGTAACTGTCAGTGACCTTGGTGATGATCTCAGTGACAGAATTGGGTTTACTGTGGCTCTCAATGGGCCCTCGGAACGTGACCTGAGCATAGACATAGTAGTCCCCAGACACAGGAATCACCAGAGCGTTGCTGGAATAACTCAGGTTGTTCTTGGTAAAGGCCAAGCCTCGCTTGTCTTCCCACTGCAGGATGGGCAGGTGGTTCCCCACGGCTCTGCTGAGGTCTTGTCTCTTCACTGTGGGAGGAAGAGAGAGGGAGAGGAGGTGGGTTAGGTCACTGCAGCCAGGGGTGTGCTGCTGGATGAAGGGGACAGCTCTGCTCCAGGGGGCACAAACGGTCACCCTCAAACAGGGTGATCAAAAATTAGGACAGAAAAGTTCCTATTGCACAGCTTGACTTGGCTGCAGGCCAACTGTGCAGTGGGATTTGGCTTTCCCAACGTAATTTGATTTTACCAAAAGCTCAGAAGACCCCCCTACTGTGCTGGCAGAATGTCCACAGTGTGTCACCAAGCTCTGACACACTCGAGCTTCTCTTCCTGCCAAGTTGCTCCCTGAAGGGGGCTGAGCTTTCTCATCCTCAGGCTTTTCTTCCTGAGTGCTCTCAATCATTTACTGTAGATTTGCCTTTGTGTTGTTGGATTTTACCAGAAGCTTGGTGTCACCCTCAACATTCCTCCAGAGTTTTTCTCAGTCCTGCTGGTAGCTGATTAGAAGCAGAACTCTAATCCAGACCCCACCATCAGTTGATCCAAGCTGAGGATGCTCCCCAGGCTGCAGAGTCTCAGGGGAAGAATCAGGGAATTGCTGCCCTATTCCCTTCACCTCTCCTCCACCACAGCCAGGAGAACAAGCCTCAGCACTTGCACATTTTTCTGCAGGGAAGCAAGAGTTGTCTCTGCTCTTTCCTGGCTGCCACATAAAATCCTTGGGAAAACACCAACTGTTGTGGTCAAACACAGGCAGGGGAAAGGAAGAGGATAAAAACCCATCAAGATTCTGCCAGGTGTTAAAATGAACCTGGAGAATCAATGATGAATGTTTAGGATGACAGAGGGAACTGATTTCCAGGAACTGAGACCTTTTTAATGAGCTTGAGTTATTGTTTAAAGTTAATTTTGATTCAGTATTTGGGGAAGGGGGGGGGGGGGGGCATGGGCAGGGAGACAAACAGAACGCAGGGAAGGGAAGGCTTTGAAATTCCTTTGGCAATAACCATGAGGTTTATCCTGGATGAGATTCAGAAAATGGAATGTTCTCAGCTCCCAGAGACATCCATTCCCTGCCTTGTCTAGCAATAATTAATCCATAAGGAACCCAAAAGGTGCTGGGAGAGCAATTCCTTGAATATTCTCTGAGTAGCACAACAAAATAATGCCCTTTTTTCCCAGCCTGGCTGTCAGTGCTGCTGAGGTATCAAATCTTTCTGATCTTTCCCCAGGAAGCAAAGAACACAAGGAGAGTGTTTCTGTGTGTGGGAACACACACAGGGATTGTGGGAGCAAGCCAAGCTAAATTATGGAAATATTATAAGGACTGTGATGTTTAGAACCAAAGGAGCTTTGCCTGATACAGAGAGAGAGGGATAAAAGAAAGTAAAAGTGAAAGTACTCATGGTCTGCCTTCCTCCTCCTCCACCTCTGGGTGTCAGGGACTGATCTGAGTCCTGGCAGAAGCTCAAGGAGCTTGGAGTCACTATAAGATTTACAAGAGCTTGGGGTAACACATCAGAGAGCAACTCACAGCAGAGGAGAACTTGTTTGAGACGGGAAGGAGCAGAATATTTCCAGAAAATGTCCTGGGCTCTTTTCCATCTTGGGCATTTTGGTGTGTGTGTGGGGGGAATTGAAGAGAAGCTGCCTGTGAAACACTCCTGTCTGTGCAGATGACGCATTTCAAATGTCAATGACACTCCATTCCCCAGCGTTTCTTATAACTAATAGGAGCTCAAACGAAGTACATGATTTCAAAACTTCGAGAATTAGGCAAGCTTAACAATTGTAACCTCCCTTTTTTTGATAAAGCTCACTCTATTTGAAGCCCTCAATTTTCAAGTTAATTAATTTTCCCTGTTCTTTCAGTACTGGTCAAGAGGAAAAATACATGGTCAAGTAGTACAATACATATTCAAATTGAATATAATGTTGAAATACATGTTCAGGTGCCTTTGAATACAATACAGATCCTTTTCTAGCAGAACTTGCACTTTGCACTTGACATTTATTTATTAATTTCCTAAAATATGGATCTACACTTCCTGCAAACATACCTATTGTGCTGATTCTGGAGGTAAGTAAAATCTGCTTTTAGTAAGGGATTCATTACTACAGTTCCTCCCACTATAAATTTCTAGCATCCCTTATTTCTCCTGTCCCTAAATCCCTTTTGGTCTAGTTCCTGGCTGGAGAATCCCTGTTGCTTGTCAGATTTTGAGCATATTTTTGTGGAACTTGGATGGTTTCTACAATTCTGAGCCCTCCCTAATGTGAGAGTCTAATCCTGAACTCTGCTCTGAGGCTCAGCAAGAGACTTGAGTCCGAACCTCCTGTTGTAGTAAAGCCCTTGTACAACGTGCACAGCAAAATCCTGTGGCTGCAGGGTTTCTACTGCTCAAATTCATGCCCTGAGTATTAAACAGAGCCCTTAAAAGGTGATTTGGAACAAAAGGTGATGCTCTCCCCAGATTTCATGGTGTGCTTGGGTAGCACTGCACATGGTCAGTGTGAGCCAGGAACCTGATGGAATTCCTCCAGCACGGGTCACCCAGCTGAGCCACAGGCTGGTGACAAGAAGGAAGAGTTGCTGGTCTTCACCTTGACCCAAAGTGCAACCAGATAAGTGGAGAGGGGATGATGGCAGGGATGGAGCAGTCAGAACCCTGGGTACATCAATGGGGATGGAGAAGAGTCTGAGCTGGGTATTCCCATGGCTTCTGCCATTCCTCACTAGGTATAATAACCACCCAGGGAGAGGAGACCTTGGTGCCAGTTTGGATAAGCCCAGAATGCTCAGTGTGTGTTAAAAAGGCCAAGAGCAGGTGGAGAATTCATTATAAAGAACAGAGACCAAAATGTCGAGTTGTTGATGGCAATTCAGTGGCACATTCCCATGGAAATGCTCTGGCTACTTCTCATTTCTCTCACTCCCCTGCTCTTACCTTCAGAAATCCCTCCCTAAAACTAGAAAATTACAGAGAGAAGGGAGATCTGCAGAAGATTTCCTACAGGTGAAGGCTTGTACTCTCCCACTTCCACTTGGGGAATGGTGCCTGAGCTGCAGGAATGCAACAAAGATCAGGGGAATAATTATTCCTTTTGGTCTTTCTACGACAAGTCGTGATTTCTGAGAAAAGAAAACCAGGGTGGAACCCAATAAATTATTGTGCACCGAGTTTGCTATAACAGGAAATGTTTTCTGACTGCAACGTGCTGTTAAGCCTGGAAACTCATTGTCACGGGGTACAGCACCAGAAATGTGTCTTGGCCAAGAAAAGGTCAAAGATAAGTCCGTGGATTCGGGATTCCCTGATGCCTGCGCAGCACAGCAGGCTGGGTGTGGGTTTTCTGCCCAGAAAGGAGACATAAAACCCCCTTAATTGTCTCTTTTCATGCTCCTTGCCGTGGCCAACTGTGCCCATGTCACAACAGCAGGCCGAGAGGATGGGCACAGCCCCAGGGAGGCTGCTTGGGAACGGTGCTGAAGGAATTTTGGTCCATATGGGGCCCGAGGAAACTTGAAGAACTCTGTTGGGTGATTCCCTGTGGCAACTGGGCTTTTGTGCAACCCAGGGGAGTTCCCTGAGCAGAGCAGTGTGTGGCTGCTCCTCTGAGTCACTGCACCAGGAGCCTCTGGACCTCTTTTGCCACAGAGTCCCCCCTTGGAAACTCGAGCATAAAGGGTCCTTTTGCTCCTGCAAACGTGCACTTGAGCAAAGATGGGATTTTGGACAAGGCCAGGTCAGGTTTGGAGCTCTGCAAACCCCCTGTGGCAAAGGGATGGGGACCATCAGGAGGGAGCTTGAGGGTTAGGGAGTGAAAACTATGCTGGGAAAGGAATCAGCCCTGAACTACTGATGGATTGAACCCTGGAGGTGGGTTTGTGTGAAGGATCACACCCTGTCCTGCTTCAGGTTGGAAAGGGCACCCTGGGGCAACACTCAGGGTTTTGGGGGAGGCTCTGCACTGAGCTGGACTTCAGGGAGGTATAAATTGCCTCAGGCCAGCTGGAAAATCCTTCAACACTTTCCTCTCCTCTCTGGCAATACCTGAATTTTGCAGGTGGGTCGAGCTGGTGAGGATGGAGCTGGGGGATGTCTTCCCCTGCCTTTTTTGGGGGATTCATCAGACTTCTGGGATATCAGGCACTTGTTTAAGCTCAATTACAAGAGCTGCTCATTCAGTGGAAGAAACAGCTTGGAAAAGTGGTGACATTTCTGTCCTTTACCTCCCTTGTGGGCCCTTTCCTACAGACACAGCCTGCACTCAATCTGTCATGGTCAGCAAGGCAAAGCTGATGGTTATTTCCCCCCTGTTTCCTGCAACACCTGATCCTATCAGATCCATGCAGAACAAGGTTATTACACCACAACATCCATAAGACTCCCAGGAAAGGCTTCAGTTTGGAACAAATTTACCTGTCAGATGAGCTCGGGGCTTCTCTGCACTGGAAAGTGTGTCTGTAACTGAGGGGGAAGAAAAATAAAAGGTGTAAGGCGCTTTGCTGCTGTTCAAGTCATAGAATCAGAGTCTCCAGCTCCTGGCTCTGCACAGGATACCCCAACAATCCCACCCTGTCCCTCAGAGCATTGTCCAAACCCTCCTGGAGCTCTGGCAGCCTTGGGGCTGTGCCCACTGCCCTGGGGAGCCTGTTCAGTGCCAACCACCCTCTGGGGGAAGAACCTTCTCCTACGTCAACAAGGTGTGAGTGGTGATGGTGACACCAAGGAAATGCGTGCAGGCCCTTTCCATTTCCATAGGCAGTCAGAAGTTATCGACTGTGATCTCTACTGACACCACTGAGGTGATAAAATCACTTTGTAAACGATTTTGTCAGAGCTGCTGGAGGGGGAACAGAGGTGTGGTGTGGAGATTTTAGCATGCAAGGGTTCCCAAACCCCTGCTTTTGTATGTTCAGGGGGTTGCACTGATCCTGCAGAGCTGCAGGGGAGCTCTGTGCCTGCATTAGTCAGAGCACAGCCCCGGGGTTAGAAATGCTCACCCACTATGCCCCAGTTACCTCCCTGCACCTCGTCATCCAGGCTTGCCTCTGGCTGCCCTGGTTGTTTGGAGGGAGGGATTAGGATTAGGGTGGGGAGAGCAGGAGGCAGCAGCACGTGCTGGGATTGTGTCCAAAGGTGCTGGGATGGGGGGGAAGGTCTGGCAAACTTACCAGCAGCTACGGCCCGTTGCTTCAGAAAGAGGGAGCCCCTCTCCTCTGGGACCTGCAGGAGAGATTTACCAGCAGTTAGCTCAGGGCTCCAGGAGGAACCTCCACAGAGGGGCTTGTCTGAGTTATCCCAGAAAATAGAATGTGCTACAGCGAGTCAGAGAGTTCACCTAGAGCTATCATGAAAAGTGAGGAGCTCTGACAAGGCTTTGCTTCTCTGCAAGAGATTTCTGCTGTGGGTTTGAAACTGCACCTCTAAAAGGGTGCCAGAGACAGGACCCGGGCTCTTGTGGCGGGGATTTTGTTGAAACTCCAGTCTGGATGAGCCCTTGGCAAAACTGGGAGAGGCCCAGCAGAGTGGGCAGTGGGAATTAGACACTGCTAATCCTCCTCTGGGGTGGGGACTCTGCTGCTCAGAGCCTCCTGCCCCTCAATCCACGCAGAGCAAGCAGAGCAAGGTGGCCAACGCTCCCCTGTGCCTCAAGACTTGGCAGGTCTGAGCCTTTACCAGCCCAAAGGTTCACCCATAACAAAGACACTGATTGAGGTGTATCAGCTACACCTGCTTTTCACACACAGAATCAGCCAGGTTGGAAAAGACCTCTCAGATCATCGAGTCCAACCTGTGACCAACAGCACCTTGTCTTCTAGACCGTGGCAGTAAGCGCCAGTTTCTGCATCTGTCTGATTTCAGACTGTAGATGTGTTGTTTGGGTCTGCCTTGGATGTTGGGTGACCTGCTGGGCAGAGGGAGGAGCTGAGCAGGCCTGAAGGGAGCAGCTGGCAGAGGGTGAGCTCAGCAGCTCGCTGGGCACTGTGCCAGGGGAAGGCAGGGTGAGCTCATCCTTCCTCAGCTCTCACCTCCCAGAGCCGAGAACTCACACCCCCTTCTCCTGCAGGGCATGGCCCTGGTGCCTCTGAGGTGGAGGTGGAGCAGCTCACAGGGGCTGTGCTGCCTGCCTGGCACATTCCTGCCAGGGCTGCTCCTCCCGAGTCACACCCGGGCACGGGAGGACTCTGCAGGATGCTGACTCTGGATCCATCTCCCCGGGCTGTGAGGAGCATCCCCGGTGCCACAGCAGGGAGCAGCCAGTGTGGGATGTGCAGCCAGCTCAGGGTTGACTCCCAGGGATGTGGGGAGCCCCCATCGCGCTTGTCAGAGCACGCTGGGTTGCTGTGGTTTGGTTTATGGACAGTTCCCAAAAATACACTGAATAAACTGCCACTGGCCGGCTTGCAGCAAAGGATTGGATGCATTTTTAATAAACAGGCTGGAACAGAAATAGTATGGAGATGTTGGAGCTGTCTGCTGGTGGCTGTCTCTCACACAGCTTGAAATACTGCAGGAGAAGTGGAAAATAGGTAATTTATGTTAGAGGAGAAGTAGAAGATAGATTATTTATATTAGCTGGGGGAAGGAGAATGTTTGTGGAAGAAGAATCAGGCTGCCTGGGTTTGGGGACTCCTGGCCACTCTGGTAATTTGATGTTTTACCAGCAGTAAACATCCATGTTTACTGCAGAAAACTGTAATTTCTACAATGGTTGCTCCAGTGTATTTGGGAAAAAATGCAGAAGAAAAACAGCAGGGAAAGTCCTGGGTTTTTTTCCCTCCCTTGCCCACCTATAAATCACCCCAGCAGCCTCCTGCTCTGCTGGCAGTGCCCTCTGGCAGAGGTGGTGGTGTGAAAGCTCAGGGTAGGGCTGAGGGAGAATTGTGGTGTGGTCAGGGAGATGTCAGGGCCTTTCATTGTGTCTGAGGACTTTCTCCAAGGTCCTGCTTGCTGTGGTGCCTCAACATGTCTGTGCTGTTGATGTGACACAGTCACAGCCAGGTGACTTTGTCCTTCCCCTGCTGGGAAGCTCAAGATCAGGACTGAGGGTTTCCCTCACGCTCTGCCCTCGCTTTCAGCCACACGGATCACAAATAACGGTGTAAATATTCCTGTGATATCTATTCCTACACAGTTGCCAGGTGACATCTTTTCTAGCAGTGATAAGTAGTGCAAAGAGCTGCAAATGAACCACAAACCTACATTTAAGGCTGGAACTTCTGGGGAACTGTTTGTGTACTTAAAGCCTGATTTCTGCTGACGTGCTTCAGATAAACTTGGATGTTGCAATACAGAGGTGGTGGGGGGGAAATGGGAAGGAGGGCAAGAAGAATTCTGCTCCTTTGTAAAAGGTAACAAAATGGTTTTGTTTAAACCTAAAGTTCACTGTTTCCTAAGAAATCCAGATGGAAACTCCAGGTGCAGGAGCTCCTTCACAGATGCAGTGGGATGCAGAGAGAGCAGGGTGCTGCAAGGTGTGAAGTTATCCTGCTGTTGGCAAAGCCATGGCTGTTCTTTTTATTCCTAACTGTGCTATTTGATAAGGATAAAAATAGAAATCTCTCGGAGAAAATGCTTTAGCACCAGGCAATGCTACACAATGAGCAGGTGTCAGTAATGCTTGTCCCAAACAGGCACAGCTGTTGTACATCGATGGTGAACAGAGCTAAGCAGCAGGAGACAACAGATAATTTACACAATTGGTGCTTTTCTCCCTTCTCCTTTCTTGCTGAAAAGTTCACAGCCTTGCTTCAATTTTCCCTTTGGTTACTGGGGAGAGACCAACCAGCTCTGAGTGATGCTGAAAATCCCACCTTGCAGCTGACTCACAGACACCCTGGACAGGCAGCTGTTACCCTCAAGGCATGGATGCAAAACACTTCCAGATGGTTTTGGTGCCAAGACTGTCCAAAAGCCCCAGTGCATTTATACCCAGATGTTGCTAAACCCAAAAAGAAAGGCTGAACACCCCCTTTTCGTGTGCTTTGGCTCTTGAACCTCTGGACAGGGCCAGGGGTATCCATCAGAGAGCAGTGTGGGAAAAGCAGCTGGTACTGCAGGCAGAAGGATTAATAAACAAAACATGCCCAGCACCTCCATCCACTCCATTTTTAGCACAGGACACTGTTTTACAGGTCATATGTGGTACAGAGAGCCAAGTTTTGCTCGCTCCAGAGATGCTGCATGGCCTGGGCTGGGCATCTTTGATAGGGACCTGCCCAGTGCCAGTAAAAACTGGCATCAATAAGACCATTTTGGTTGGACAGTAGTGCCCAGGGGAAGCCTGGACCCAGGGGCACGTGCTCTTGGCCTTCTGTGCCCACAAGGGCCATGTGCATCCAGCAGCAGGGGCCACTCAGGAGTTTTGCTGCTGCTCTTGGAAGGGGAATCCCAACACCTGGGCCCATCCAGGGGCAATGCTCCCTGCTCCTCCCCAGGCATTGCTCCCTCCCTACACATCAGGAAGCCATTTCAGGGTCTCTTTCCCATATGGGCAGATCTTTTCTGAGCTTTGCTGCCAGATTTCTGACTTCCTTTGGTCCCAAAGGAATCCAGGTGGAGCTGCTGGGACTTTTCAAGCCCCTCCTGCACTGCAACAGCTCCACTGCCAAGCTTTCATGGCACAGACATGGCACACAGGTTCACAGGCAGCCCTTTGGACAGGCTTTGGAATGTCTCTTTGTGGTCCTGACATGCCAAGGATACCAGGAAAATAAACCCAAGTTTTTTTCCAGGCCATAGGATTGGATGCTCTGCTTTCCTGGGTCAGCTGAGCAAATTGCTGAGGCAGCCAGAGATTGTCTTGGCTGCTGAGCTGCTCCTTTGAGAGATTTGTGAACTCAGACTGAAACTTGGCTTCCCTTTGGGGAAGGATGAACAGCACTCCTGGACCTTCCTCTGGAAGGGCACTATTACAGCCTTTATATAGATTTCCTGCTAATAACACAAGCTACGTGTTATTATTTAAATAACTCTATTTCCTCACCTCACTCTGTCTTGGAGCATAAAAGAAAGTGATTTCTCTTTCCAAAAGGAGCAGTACAGTGAGCCTGGAAGGTGTCCAGGGAATCTGTCATCAAACTTGAATTATTCATCCAAGACTCACTGTACCACAACAGAGACAGAAAACTGGTGGCTCACACATGTTGTAATGACATAACTTGCCCTGCTTTTTCCTGAAAGGGACATTTCCAGAGGAAAGGTGAGTTTGCATCCCTTCAGAGGCAGGAGGTGACACCACGTGCACCCACACGGAGGCAGAGATGACCAATCTGCCTCACCCCACAGGCAGAGTGCCAGGAGAAACACACCCCTGTTGCACAAACCTCCCCTCCTCCTCCTCCTTGCTCCAGGAAGGACTCACTCAGGAATTTACTATGTTTTTCTTCTCACATGCTGAGTCCCTCCCTCCTCCCAGGACTGTCCCCAGAGCACCAGAAGGTGACAGTCCAAGCATGTATGGGCTGAGTCCTAGAGCAATGAGAGGGCTCCTCCCATGGGGTCTCTGCTGTGAGGGTCAGCAAACCAGTGCTCATCTGGGGCAAACTGGGATCTGTCCACTGGTCCCAGCATGCCCAGGGCACCCAAACCCCAAAACCAGTGCCACAGAGAGCTCTGACACACACATCTGGTCCCAGTAGTCTTAACTGGGGCTATCAATGGAGCACATGGGGAAGGAACCACTTAGCAATCCAGTTCTAACACTTCAAATGCAGAAGGAGATGCAAAAAGACATTTTCCCAAGAAACATTCCCATGGACTGGTACGGCAGAGCTGCAGGACTGAGCTCCTGGGTTCAGTGCGTGACATATCTCTTTGGGGACTTTACAGAAGGCCACACAGGTAGGCAAATCCACCCATCTGCCTCTTCCTGCTGGACAACACTGGTGGTAGAGCCAGAAAACAGGAGAATGAATGAAAAACTCAGAACAGGCAGGAGCCAGCCGGGGTGCAGCTCCTCCCACTGCACAGCGGGCGCCCAGCCAGCCCCATGACTTTCCTCTTCCTCCCTGGGACTCACAGAGGTTGCAAGTCATCTGATCACCTCCTTACATCACTGTGGGAATACTACGTGCTGCTAACTGGGTGCACATGCGTGGGTCTAACAGCAGGGCAGCCCGGGGCTGGAGCGGCGCTCGGGGCTGACGTTGTGCCCTTCCCCTTAAGAGGCCAAGCCCACTCATAAAAATACCTCTCTGCTAGCTCTGCCAACAGGGTCAAGAGCCAGGAACACGTCAGACTGATCAAACAAACTCACGCTTTGTTATTCTTTCCCTCTGTTTCGAGGCTGAACTGCTGTGCTCTGTACAACCTCAAACAAAGCCCGGTGCAGCTGAGAGTCTGCACCTCGTGTGCACCCGCTGGCCTCGACAGCAGGGGCAGGGTCGGGGCAGAAACACATTTCACACGTGCAAGGAACTGGCAGATTTGACAGAAGGGCTGCACAAAGTTAGAACCAGGTAACACAGGGGATGCGGCGCTTGGGAACGAGCTCGGGGTCAACCGGGGGCTGGCACATCCCTGCACGGCTCTCACACATCCCCAGGCTAAACAAGGTTAGGAACCTTCCTTCAAGGCCTCTTCCTAACCCTGCTCTTTTATCCTAAATAAGCTGCCAACAAGCACACTAATTAGCTGGGGGATTGCAGAGCCGAAGCTAAAATTCTGCAGACATAAATGCACCCTGCTGGCTTGGGGCAGTCCTGCTGAACTCACAGTCTCCCGTGGGAATGGGCACTTGCAGATTGGCACCAGCAGGGATGGAGCAGCAGGAAAGAGTGTTAGAAGCAGCACAGCATGAGCTTGGGAGCAAAGGGAGTGTAGCTGTCGAGGGAGAAGAGCTGAGAAGATCCCTGGATCCAGAGGGAGTTTTAAGGGAGAGTGAAAAATAGGGAGCGAAATTTAGGGCCAGACTTCTTGTCTTGGATCAGATCTCTGCAGAAGTTTGCATTAATAATACACAAGAACTGTCAGCCCAGTGGTGGGTGACTGACCCACTGACATCACAGCCCGGTCAGGGAAATCAGACACCGGGAGGGGAAGTCTCAGATTTAACCCCAAAGAAGGGAGGAAAATGAGCTGTAGTGTGAAAATCTGGCTGAAATCAGCGGAGAGACACTGATTTACATCAACTAGTGTTTTTTTAAGCACTGCCTGCAGCATGCCAATGAAAGTTTTAAACTCATGCACTGTACTGTGACCTCGGTGAAATTAAGACGAGAACAGGAACCGTTAGTTAAAAAGTCCGAATCACAGAATCACAGAATTCTGAGCAATAATACGATTTACCCTAGGCATTTTTCTCAGCGTAAGGAAGGAGGAACGTGACAGTTCCCTTTTAAACACGAGAAACTCGTACAGAGAATTAAAAGAACCGAACAAACGCAGCCCTGGAGGCGCGGGACGAGGTGCGAGTGCCTTACCTGGCTGCCGCAGGAGCTGGGGGCTCGCAGGTTTCCAACCAGCAGGTAGGCGATGGGCAGCATGAGGACCATCACCGAGAGCAGGCACAGCAGCACCGCGCACCGCATCCTCCTCAAATCCTTCCTGAGGTGCATCCCAGAGCCTTGGCTGATCCCAGGAGCCGCTGCCTCCGGCGTTATCTCGACCACGCGCTCCATGGCAGCGCCTGCCGGGTGAGATGCTCTTGATCAGCTGGGAGCTGGGGGACGGCAAAACCTCCTCTGGCGTCTGCCCTGCATGGAGACCCCCATTAAATAAGAGCTGCTCCGAGTGTGGGAAGGCTCCGACACACACACACACACTCACACACACCCCCCCTCCCTCCCGAGGAATGCGCCGCCTACAATAGAAACCCAAGCGCGGGGATCGGGAGCTCCGCGGTTCCCCGCGCTCCCTGCCCTCTCCCTGCCTCCCGACGGCTCCTTTTTTTTTTTTTTTTTTTTTTTTTTTTTTTTTTTTTCTCCTCCCCTCTCTCTCTCCGCGTCCTGAAGGAAGCCAGGAAAGTCCCAGTGGGTGGAACCAGGATAAACCCTGCTGCTGGGCTGGAGAGACTTGAAAGTTTTCCGCATGGCAGAGGGAACGTGAAACCAACGGGAGTGAAAGTGAGAAGCAAGGGGGGGAGCGAGAGCGGCAGAGGTGACGGAGCCCCGCAGTTTTTTCTTTCCCTGAGAGAGGGGAAGAGGGTTTTAGGGATGGTGAGGAGTATAAGTGACCCCCAAGAAGGGCTCTGGTTCTCTAAAGTGTTGCTTCATCCGTACATTTTAGCAGAATCCACATCAGGCTGCAGGTTGCTCAATGTGCATCTTTTGCAGCAAAGAGTGAGAGGTCAGGCCTGGAGTGGGATGTTTGTCTGCTCTGGGGTTCTTCTCCAAAATCATTTTAAATTATGCTTTCAGGGAAGTCTGTTATTGTTTCTTGAAGAAGCTGTGACTTCTTTGCACTTGGAAGAAAAATAAATCATGCTCCTTTATTGACAGCTGCTGTCCCTGATGAGAAGGGCTGCTCCTATGGGCAACCTCTGCAGCTGCTCAACAACAGGTCTGGGAAGAACAAGCTGGAAATAGCTCCTGTATCCCAGGGAAGGCTAATTCCTTGCTTGCTCCCTGCCACTCCACAGCAGCCCCCTCCTCCAGGGCGATTTAGGAAGTGCTTGGCAGGACCCATCTGTGGACATGTTGCCATTTAGACTTACCCAGACTGTTGAAATTGGAATAGTTTCCCCAGGAAAGTTCTTGTTAAAATGGAAATTTTCCCTGGTGTCGACGTGAACAGACAGTGATGTTCACAAACTTCTCCTTTTTTTTCCGTGGGTAGAGAAACAGGCTGGAAACTTGCAGATTTCTCAGTGAGAGAGCAACAAGGTTTGGTTTCCCTTATGTCCCCAAGAAAGGCGTTTTGGGTTTGGGTTATTAAAAAACAAGGTCAAAGAAAGAAAACTATTTTCTCACATCCCAGGACACCTGTAAAATATTCATAAAAATTCAGCCAGCTCTTATCACTTCAATAACACTGCTAGAAATCTTCCTGTTACAACAGTCTAGGGTGGTTGTTGATACACGAGAGAGCTAAAAGTCATGCTCTGAAAAGAACATGTGGTTTGGTTATTGAGGGTGACTGAGGTTGCCAGCAGCAAGGATGGGATCCCTGCTAGGAGACTGGAGAGGGAATAGGCCAGGGAAAGTGTGAAAGAGTAAGCAAGAAATAGTGAAAACTATGGTTTAAAAGGGAGCTGGTAAATCATAGGATGACAGAATGGCCTGGGTTGGAAGGGACCTTAAAGATCACTCTGCCATGGTGCACTAGCACCTTGCACTAGCCCAGGTTGCTCCAAGCCCTGTCCAATATCTGCTTGAACACTTGCAGGGATGGGGCAGCCGCAGTTTCTTAGGGCAACCTGTGCCAGGGCCTCCCCACCCTCGCTGGAAACAATTTCCTCCTAATATCCCATCTAACCCTGCCCTCTGGCAGTGGGAAGCCATTCCCCCTTGTCCTGTCACCCTTGGAAATAGTCTCTCTCCATCTTTCTTTCAGGCTCTCTTCATGTCTTGGAAGGCCACATTAGGTCACCTGGAAGCCTTCCAGGCTGAACAATCCCAGCTCTCCCAGCCTTCCCTGCCAGCAGAGCTGCTCCATCCCTCTGATGCTCTTGGTGCCTCCTCTGGCCTCTCTCCAGCAGCTCCATGTCCTTGCTGTGCTGTTCCTCAGGGCTGGGGCAGCTCTGCAGGTGGGATCTCACCTGAGGGGGCAGAGGGGCAGAATGTTCCCCTTTACCTGCTCTCCAGGCTGTGGGATTAGCCCAGGGCACATTTGGCATTCTGAGCAGCCGGAACACACTGTTGGCTCATGTCCAACCTCTCTTCCACCACACACTCTTTGATAAAGCACCAAAGGCCTTGTGCTGTAATCCAAGCCAAGCCACAGCTCTCCTTGGAGACCTTACACATGTGCCTGACGTGCTTGCCTTCTATAATTCACTATTTGTTTTCATGTAGACTGTAAAACCTTGGTGACAAGGACTAATCTCTGCTTTTACAGTACCCAGAGCCGAGTTCAGGGGTAGGTGTGGTTCCATTTATCATCAAGTAAAAAAGTTTATATTTCTATGGAATTGCTGTGTAGAAATGTGATTTTTATTTTTTTTTTTTTTTTACTATTTTTCCCTCCACCCCCGAATCTCAGTTGTTTATTCCTAGACAGAATACTAAAAAACTGACACGAGTGTTTTGAGCATGAGTGTCACAGTAATTTTCCCTTCACTGTGAGTGCCACAAGGTGCTTAATATACATTCAAGGCCTTTACAAGCAGATGGACACTGATAACTCCAATATGAACTCAGACAAACACCCAGGAGTTTGTTTTTGTTGTGTTTTCCTAGGATTTCCAGGTGACTCAGTTCTGAGTTAATACAGCTCATAAGAGCTTTGACTGGCCTCAGATTTCTTGCAGTGGTGTGTGAGCTGCAAACCTTTGGCTGGAAGAGGATGAACAGCCAGAGCCTTGGAGAGCAGCAGCTGAGCCCTTGAGATGAGTCAGGAACAGGCTCATTCTCTGCACTCAAGCTCAGAATTTGTTCTTGAGAATCTCAAGAAAGGAGGAGAAATTTATTTTCCTCTCCAGAGCACAAGTGCACCTGGCAGAGAGCAAGCCTGGGACTTGCTGGGAGGTGACTTTCCCAGGGTGGCTCAGCCTTGCAGTGGCCACAAGAAGCCCAGTGCTGGGCTGTACTGGGATGTTTCCCAGCCATCCCCTGGTGCAGGACAGGGAATGGTGACTTTTGGGATTCATCTTTCCCCAAAGTGGGACTGGATCATTGCAATCAGGGCAAAGGCAGGGACAGTCCTTCTCAGCTCGTGTCATGCCATGTCCTGTCACTCTTCGTGTGTCTCCTGCTGCTCCCTGTTTGTCCCCAGCTCGGCTCTCAGCCTTCCCTGTTGTGCAAATTCTCCTGCTTTTGTCAGGCATGTCCCAGCCTGTGATCTTTGAATAGTTTCTACTGATTAGAGAAATCTGCAGGGCTTCCCAATCCTGCTCACCTCGGCAGTTAAACGACCTTTAAAGAGGGGAGATGTTCCTACAGACTTACATATTTGGGGCTTGGAAATGTTTTTAAAGGTGAGAAAAAGCATGAAAGGAATTAGGGAATCAAAGAAAAAGCTTGTCCCCAGGGCATGTCACCTCTGTGCTGCTGAGCTTTCCCTACTTTCTGAAGTGCTTTTTGTTCTCTCTGCATGCTTGTGCATGATGTGTGTGAGGGCTTTTTGTCTGAGGACAAGCTGAATCAGATCCATGGTGACGCTAAAGTAGAATACACAGGGATGGCATGACAGCTATTCCTGTCTTTAACGTGGAAAATGCTCGGCATATTTTATCCTTATTCATTCCTTGTGTACATCAGGTCATGGTTCCTTTCAGTTTTGGGTCCCTCACTTCAGGAGAGACAATGAGGGGCTGGAGCATGTCCAGGGAAGGGAACGGAGCTGGGGAAGGGTTTGGAGCAGCAGGAGCAGCTGAGGGAGCTGGGGGGGCTCAGCCTGGAGAAAAGGAGGCTCAGGGGGGACCTTCTCACCCTTTACAACTCCCTGACAGGAGGAGGGAGCCTGGGTGGGTTGGGCTCTGCTCCCAGAGAACAAGGGAACAAATGGCCTCAAGCTGCTCCAAGGGAAATTTAGGTTGGATATCAGAGAAAATTCACTGTGTTGAGAGTGGTTGGTCTTTTATCTGCACGGCTGAAGCTGAATCCTGTGAGATTCCCCACAGGAAGACAGCACAGAGCATCCTTCAACTGGGAGAGGGGGAATCAGGGTGTGAATTTGCTCCTCCTGATCTTGTCATTTCCTTCCTCTTGGTGTTTTTGTTGGATCATCTGGAGCCTCCCACCAGAGATATGATGTGCACAGAGGTGCAGCAGCCGCTGCTGGGCACACTCAGCACTGGTTGTGACCTCCCAGGCTGGCATTTCATCCTTCCCCTGTGCTGCTGCTGCCTCGCTGCTGTGGCTCTTGGTTGCTGGGACATGCTTGGTGATGGTTCTCTGCTGGGTGTTTCTGTGGTTATCCTGCACCTCCAGCCCTCCTGTCACTGCAGCTGAGCATCAGAGATCCACGGGGAGCAGTGGGCAATGCCACCTTCTGCTGACCCATGGCCTGGGCCGGGCGGAGGGGATGGTGAAAGCAGGGATTGCTGGTGGTGTGGGATTCTTTACTGCACCAGAGTCCACCCATGGACATCCAATAAATTTAAGCGCTGATGATTGTGAGAGGGAAGGCAGAAGGATGGGGCGGGGGGAGGGGGGGCCTCATCTCAGTATGACTGTGCCTTGAAAGAGCAGTGATGTCACCCCTTGTGCCCAGGCGTTGTGGAAGGGTTTTCTCATAGGCACGGTTAGGTGAGGAGATGTGTCAGGAGGGGCTTTTCAGGTCAATCATTCCTCTTGCACAACCAGCAAGCAGAAGCAGGACATCCCGTGTGGAAACATCCCCCAGCTGGACCGGGTTTGTCACCGGGCAGGAGATGGGGGAGCAGCTCCCAACGTGCCCCTTGCCATGGGGTGACAGAAGACGGGAAGGAGTGGGAGGGTGCAGGAAAAGCTTCCCCACCTCCAGCCGCCGTGTCCCTCCTGTGACCTCCCACCTCTGCTGCCAAATCCTGCCCTGCCACCCGCTCCTGTCCCGTAAGAACTTTTCCTTCCCACGCACGCCGAGCCGAGCCGATCAGCTCGGGTGGAGCTCCCGAGGTGTCGGGGAGCTGGGAGGAATGTCATGGCCCAAAGGGATGCTGCTCCCGTGTCCTTGGCGGCAGCCCGTGCCTGCGGGGGAGGCAGGGGCTGCGGGATGGGAGCCGTGCCATTCCGGGGACTCTGGGAGAGCCTTTCAGGGTAAATCCTGGTGTATCCC